GCATCTTCGGTTTTTGGAGTTATGGTATCACTGCTGTTCATTCTTTCTACAATCGTTAAAAAGTAGGTATTAAAATAGTTAGCTATAAGTTTAGGATCATTTACTCTGTTACTATTTATCATTAATGGTGGGCTTTCAATGTCTGTAGATTGTTTGCCAGTTTCCTTTTTTACAATTTTCCAAACAGTTTTTACTTTATTTTCAGACTCTACTATCAATTTATTGTAATGCATGCGTTTAGCTTCTTTAATGACTTGAGATAAAATTTTGCAATATTTTCTATAGTGTTGCTTCAATAGTGGGTTATTACTGGACCTGCTACTTAGGTAAAGAGCTCGCTTACATACACTAAGGTAATTTAGGCAGCGCTGGCTTAGATGCTGATTCAAGTTTAGATGTGTGTGAACTGGCATGTACATGCACTTTATTTATCTGAGCAGTATTTCTTCAGCCTTTATGCAAGTAACATGTGCCCATATTTCTTTTAAACAAGTATATTCCTATGTAATTGTAAGGTTATGCATATTTTGTTTTTATTATAAGTTCATCAAAAGAGGAGAAGGTGTTAGAAAAATTCTTTCAACACTGCTTTAAATTGTTTACTGACAAAAGATAAAAATTTAATGTTGAGCAATGTGATTGAATTAACCAATAGAATACATTATTAAAGAGTAGGGGATAATACTGACTTCTGTTTTGCTGTGTTTTGCAGCTCTTGATGAGGGAGACATCGCCCTTCTGAAGACTTATGTAAGTTCTTCTCAGTATGATTATCAGCAAGTCACCTCATTGAGGACTTCAGTAGGTTCAGAATTTGCTGTAGGCTGGTAGTCTCAGACGCAACCCGGTTTTGAGTGAGTCTGAAGCCAAATATGGGGTTTGAAACTATTTTATTCATATTGGTTTCTATAATAATTGCCATTCCATTTGTTGCTTATCATATTTATTGAATGAAATCAATGTCATGAGGTGACGGGCATGCCATTTAAAATTCTTGCTCCTGTTGATAAATTGCATCAGTGTGAAAAAGAAACCTGTAGCTTGGTTACTTTTCCTGTATATACCTGAGTACCTCATCATGAAAGCACTACAAGTCCACATGACATTCAGCAGACTGATATTAGCATATTTGTAGATACAGAGTCTGGCTAACACCCAGTAGCATTTTGTGTTCTTATATTAAAATTGTATACAAAAGTTTTTTAGTCTCTCTGAATATGATCATAAGTATATCTCAACACAGACTCCTGTTTTGGTTGGTATTTAACAAAAATTAACATGGTCTTTGTGATTTTATATGACTATTGGAAATTTGTTCTGGTATGAGAATGCCCACAAGCCTCTGCACATGGTATGTTCTCTGACATAAGTGGCTATTGGTCAGTGATATGTGTGCATTAGCAGCTGTGTACCATTAAATGTGATGTTTGGTTGATTATGACCGGCACATTAACATGAATATGGATTTTTAATCCATTGCTCTGGAGATTGGCTAAAACTGCAAAATAGTTAGTGCCCACTTGTTTGTGCTACTAGGGCCAAGGTCAGTATACAAAGAGCATCAAGGGGGTCGAGGATGACATCCAGACAGTGACGAAGCGAGTCAATGAGCTGACAGGCATCAAGGAGTCTGACACTGGCCTAGCTGCACCTGCTCTGTGGGACTTGGCTGCCGACAAGCAAACATTGCAGAATGAACAGCCACTGCAGGTGAGTTTAAAGGTTGTACTATTGGTGTCAGTTCAGGATGATAAGCGTGAACAAAATAAGTTCCATTGAGCATACAGTTTTACATTCTGTGGGCAAATGAAAGAAACTGCAGTATAATAACCATTTGCATCACACTTCCCCAGAGAGCCTTATTCCAGATTGAACACCATCTGCAGTAATTGTAAATATGCAGGACACGGAACCTTGAATCATATCTGTAATGTGATATTATTATTCAAAATAGATGCCCTTCATTCATGAACAACAACTTTTGTTGGTTACTACCTCAGAACTGTTTCCTTTTGTCATGTCTTCCACCAACTTCTCCTCTTGTCATTGACATTGGACTGTTTTTGTTCCCTTTCACTTCTTTACTTCATCCTGTTGATGGTCTTCTAATAGGCTGATTGTCCTAAGCTTCTTGTTTGTCTGAAGGCGCTGTCAGTAATTTTCTATTCATGTATTGTGATCAGATTACTGATATCTAGTGGTCTGTCTGTTGATCACACACCAGTCTTTTCTCTTGTAGGATTTTTGGTTTTCACAGCAGTGAAGATTTCTGTCTTCTGGGTTGTTGCGCTGTGTAGTCTGGTCGATGTTTACCAACGTTTCAGAGGTCATACTGCCTCCGTCATCAGGGCGATGAGTATGAAGATTTCTGTCTTCTGGGTTGTTGCGCTGTGTAGTCTGGTCGATGTTTACCAACGTTTCTGAGGTCATAAGTTGGTAAACATCGACCAGACTACACAGCACAACAACCCAGAAGACAGAAAACTTCAGTCTTTTCTCTTAGGTCCTCTGAAACTGGGCTGTTTTCTCAACACCATTTTGTGATAAAAGAATCAGCAAAGAAGAAAGAAAAATAAAATGTGTTTGTGCGTGTGAGTGAAAATATCTGAAAGTATGTATATTTCATTTAAATTTGCCCCAGTTTATTTTGTGAATAAACAGTAGGTAGGAGTTTATGACATCTTATATTGACAATGTACACTTGTGTTTTTGCATTGTTTGCTCTCTGTTGCTACTGTTATGTGCTAAGCAGTCCTAGATCAAATATTATTCTTTGTTACTTTGTGTTCTATTACCTTCATTACTAGTGTCAAGGGCTCTGTTGTTGCCCAAGTAGCCAAATTTGGAAGTTGTGAAGCTTGAGTAAACATCTTCATCACTTTTAATGTTTCCAGGTGGCAAGATGTACAAAAATTATCAATGCTGACTCTGACGATCCGAAATACATTATCAATGTGAAACAGTTTGCCAAATTTGTTGTGGACTTGGCAGATTCAGTGGCGCCAACTGACATTGAAGAAGGCATGCGTGTGGGGTGAGTCCTTGAGTTTAGCCTTCAAAGAACCATTTTAATGAAGTGAAACATCATTGTAGCCGTTCATTCCCATTGCAAGATGTAATGACAAGTGGTAAAATACACTCTATTTTTGGGATCACAGCATTTAAAAGTCCATTATTTGCAATTTAAATTCTAGTAAAATATCTATAGTTTATCCAGAATAATGACTGCTTATAAAATTAAAAACAATTGATTCGCATTATTATTAGAAGTGAGAACTGTTCTAAGTGAGTATATCTCTGCGAAAAAAAGTGAATGCAGTATATATACTCATCTCAATGTGTTACTCTTGTGTTAAACTGATGCTCTTTTTATCAGAATTAAATAATAAATGTATTAGAACTGGGTACCCCTCAAAAATTTCCAGCTCCTTTGCATTAAGAACTGCTTAATTTTCTTGTACTGTGCTGTATTACATAATGAGATCAAAATGAATGGTCTGGGCTTGGAAGTATGTTTGTATGTACAAAGCATAAATGAGTTACTCAATGACAGAATTTCAGATTCATCTCTCTGAACAAAACTGGATTTACATGGCTAAGGATCAGAATGTGTGGTGTTTATTCAAGTGCGGATAGTGGTAAAATCTGAGATGCAGAGCTATTGTAAATGAGAGGATTTTTATCTGCAGTACTAATAAAAAAAACAGGAATGACTTGCGACTCTTACTCATTCATCCAAAGATGTCTGTGTAGAGTATTATCGGTAGAATAAGGTCAGTGGCTGACATGTTACAGTGTGGATCGTAACAAGTACCAGATTCACATCCCTCTGCCCCCCAAGATTGACCCCACAGTCACCATGATGCAGGTTGAGGAGAAACCAGATGTGACTTACAGCGATGTCGGCGGCTGCAAGGAGCAAATTGAGAAGCTGCGTGAAGTGGTAGAAACTCCTTTGCTCCATGTGAGTTGAATGAAGTTTCATGCACATAGTATGAATTTTGCAAAGATGATTTATTTCAAATTGTCTCCCATCCATTCACTTGGTAATGCTGTTAAAGGAACACCATTCTTATGTAGCATGTACTTAATAGTTGATTAAGGACAGATTTTTTTCTCTAGGCAATGATATTAGCTGCAGTGGTGGTTTAAAACATTTTTCTGAAAGACTGTATATTAAGCATTCAGAAATATCTTGCAAGGTAAAAAATTACCATTTGAGCCTAGTTAGAATTGTTCTCTGAATTTGTTTAACCATTGCAGCCAGAGAAGTTTGTCAACCTTGGCATTGAGCCACCGAAAGGGGTTCTGCTGTTTGGACCTCCTGGAACAGGCAAGACGCTGTGTGCTAGGGCTGTTGCAAATAGGACGGATGCCTGCTTTATTCGTGTCATTGGCTCGGAGCTGGTACAGAAATATGTTGGGGAGGTAAGAAATAAAACTATGGACTCATTTATGCACAATATGACAGTATTTGCTTGTGTCAAATGCTGTGATAATCATCAGATTTTTACAATGCATAGAAATGGAAAGAATTTTATTTATTGTTTACAAAATACAACTTTGCTTCCTCTGTCAGCAACTCAGCTGCTGGCTTACCTCTAACCTCAGCCATTTTAACAGTACCCTCCCAGTTTGTGGTATTTAATGATAAAAATTTAATAGAAAATGATCTGTATATGTTTATGGGTTTTTAAAAGGCATCTGAATGCACCATCTAGCAAAAGAGGAGGAAACTGCATGTTGAAAGAGTAAAGTATATATTAAGAAAATAAATTTTTGTTCTGTTACAATGTGTTACTTTCTGACTGAGGTTAGATATGTAGTGTAGACCATGTTTCTCAGCCTTTCTGGTACCATGGACCCCCATGTCATCTCATACATTTTGATTGAACACAATGTATTCCAAGTACAATACAGTTGAAGGTTTTGTTTTCCATCACGCTTTCTACTACAGTGTGGAAGTTAAAAATATGTGATGATGAAAGCTTCAAACGTGCAGCAATGCAGCTTCAAGAAAATAAATTCAACTTTGGAATCCTAAGCCACATCTTGTTTTCTCCTGATTAAGAAATGCTGGTTTGGACAAAGCTCTAATAAAGGACTAATCTTGAATAAAGGTTGACATTTGAAAAGGCAATAAGTATGCAACTGAATTCAATAAGAAGGTGTGTTATATTTGTCTTGAAATATTCAGTAGGGTTGGTCATCCCCATTGCATATTATCAAGACCTTGATCATCTCTAATTAACTCCTGTCCAGGTTCAGAATAATTTAGTTTGAGCCTCCAGTTACTTAATAGTAAGTAATGAAGTAGAATTTTTAAACACAGTCCAAGTGAATCAAGTTTGCTAATCTGATAAATTCTCCAACTAGTTGGCCTTTGAAAATGGAAAGTTCATAGTAGACAGATGAGTTAACATGTACGAGGGTGTGGGATTTGAGATTTTCATGGCAGTGACACTGAAGATGTCTGTCTTCTGGATTGTTGCACCATGTAGTCTTTTAAAAATTTACCAATGTTTCAGAGGTTTGCTGCCTCCATCATCAGGGTGATGAGGGTAAGGGTGTCAAAACATTATTAGCTACCAAAATTTATAATTGTTGGATTGTTTGCAGAACACCTTTGAAGGAAAGATAGAATGATAAATTTGTCTTTCAACCAGAACATGAACATTGCAAGCGCTACTATCTCAGGGAGACACATTTTCTGAAACTAGAATGGAGGTTAACTGAATTTTTGGGAGGGATTCCCTGAAATACCAATGTGTACATTTATATTTGCAGGGTGCGAGAATGGTGCGTGAGCTATTTGAAATGGCCCGCAGTAAGAAAGCTTGTCTAATTTTCTTTGACGAAATAGATGCCATAGGAGGAGCACGATTCGATGATGGTGCTGGTGGGGATAATGAGGTACAGAGAACCATGTTGGAACTCATTAATCAGCTGGATGGCTTTGACCCTCGTGGAAACATAAAGGTATGTGCCTGACAAGCCTTTTCATATTTGGCAAATAATTTCTGCATCAATAATATTTGTAAACTGAACCTCCTTATAAGTAAACAAAATAGTCATTATTTAAAAGTGAAAGTTTTTATATGTTAATTTTTAAGCTGCACATTATTTTCCCACTGTTCTGCAAGAAGAATTTAATTTAAAGGCAAAACGTGAACACATTAATCAGACACCCAATATTGTATTTACCAACACTTTATATACAAACTTATAGTTGCTTAAGATTCAGAAACTTCATCACAAGTGTAAAAGTTGTGTTAAAAACTTGAAGTGTGCAGCAGCATGGCAGCCCTCTGAAAGACTTCGAACTTCAAATTATTTAGACTGGATGGCAGCAATAGGCAGATGAACAAATATGCTGTTTCACAGCATGTGGAGTAATATCATATGTCACAAGAAAAGGAGATTATTGTTCAATGTGAAGGAAAGTTGAATGTTGCATGGACATTTAGCGGAACTGGAATATTGCAACATAAGGATTGAAATTAAGACTGTCATTGTTAAGGATTTATGAATTCATTAATTAGTTACTTAAGGCATACATTCTTGTGCAATTAATGTTCTAAACTCATGTTTCAGTTAGCTGAAAATATTGGTCTTCATATATCAGTGCTTGCTTGTGATGTGAACATTTGTCACAGTTCTAATTCTGAGTATTGTGACTTCCGTTTTACAGATTTTTAAGCGTGTTTACAACTAAAAGTTGCAAAAATATGTCTTCAGCGTTGTCATTTTGTCTGTGTGTATGTAATAACTTCAGAACCACTCAACAGAATTTGCATGAAATTTGATATTGGAGAATTTTACTAAGATTTATTGATTTAAATCAGATAATGATAGATAATAGGTAATAATAGGTGAATGAAGATATTCTTGTATTTGTGATTGTGTTGAATGCGCTAGGTCCTGGTCTGCAGGTGTTTTCACCATATCGTAATGTTATGAAGTATTGACATAATTTGTAAAATATGAATACTGAGAGTCATGTTTTTCATAAAAGAATTACATGCAGAACATTTTATAGCATTTCTGGGACTAAAACAATGTATTGTAGTTGTATGCCATCTATTTACACATCTTGAATAAGGCCAGTACTGTGTATGGATGCAAAAGTATTTAACTTAGTAGTAAGTGCCTGTATTAAGTGGAAACCTGCCTACATTGGAAGAAATTCCCATCCCTTTCAGTTCTGATGTAAACATGTTTCACTGTATTACAGTTTCATAACTTGTCAATCAGCCAGTTTGAAACTTAGCAAACTGTTATTGAGAATGTTAAGACATCACAAGACCTTCTACGAGTGTTTGAATCTTCTGGCTGAATGCTCTGTATGTCAGGTGCTTATGGCTACAAATCGTCCAGACACGCTTGACCCCGCCCTCATGAGGCCTGGACGACTTGACAGGAAAGTGGAATTTGGACTGCCAGACCTAGAAGGTCGAACCCACATCTTCAAGATCCATGCTCGCTCCATGAGTGTTGAGCGTGATATTCGCTTTGAGCTTCTGGCAAGGCTTTGCCCCAACAGCACAGGTAAAGAGCTTTTACCACTGTACACCTTGTGAATGTGGGGAGTGTGTGTCAGGCCCTGATCAAGCTAATATAGAACATGTAATGAGAGGTAGTTGATTTGAAACGATCATACCTACATTTTGTATCTGATTTCTCTGAAGTTGGTAGTGTAGCATCCCAATGTGTTATGATGATTCTTGGTTTCTCTTGTACAGTGAAACCTCTATCCATCGTTCCCGGAACTATCGTTTTCCCGGATGCATCGTCCGTTTTGTTCGGTCCCGAATACATCCCATATAAAATAATGTTACATTTTCCCGCTTCTATCGTTCCTCGAACTATCGTTTTATCGCATCGATCGTTCAAAAATCTTAGTCCCGGCCAACAATTTTCCCGCAATGATCGTTTCTGAGAAATTGTAACGAAATTTACGTGATATTTTTAGAATTTAATTCCGAAAGACGCACAATGTTTTTGGAATACACAGTAGCGATAACCTGTTATGTCGCCCAACCAGCACATTCTTTTGGAATGAGTCACCAGTAAAAAATTAAAGCTGTCAACTACACCTCACGTAAGTCTTTGGGAGGGGGTGGGGGTGAAGGTATAGCTCCTACTCTTGACCTCAGCACTAGATGGGGGTGAGTGTTCAGCATCACGCCCTGGCTGCGCTTTACCCCTGGGAAAGGACCCCGGTACCCATTGGATAGGAGGCTGGGTGGGCCCCAGAGCCGGTCTTGACGCAGAGGCTAAAGGAAAAATCCTTGCCCCCGTTGGGGATCGAATCCCTGTCGTCCAGCCCATAGCTAGTCACTGTACTGACTGAGCTATCCCGGCTCATTCACTTCCCCACTACAGTGACACATAAAAGCAAAGAATGTTGTTCAAGTGGATGGACAGTGAACAGAGTGGGTGAAAAATTGATGTATGAATTTGAATTATGTTATTCAACTAAAAATTAAGCTTCCTCAACAAACCTAGCCACGTATACAAGAAGTGAAAATTCATTGATTATGTTTCAATGTATGATCATTTCTGTCACCAGGGTTTGTGATAGATCAGTGGGAGGATGAATGACAGGGGAAAATTGAAGTACTTCGAGAGTGCAAATTTATTTTGATTTTTTATGAACTGTTGTTCTCAGGGGCTGAAATACGATCTGTCTGCACAGAAGCAGGCATGTTTGCCATCCGAGCTCGAAGGAAGGTTGCAACAGAGAAGGATTTCCTGGAAGCTGTGAACAAAGTGATCAAGTCTTATGCCAAATTTTCAGCCACCCCACGCTACATGACCTACAACTGAGCATTTCCTAGTTAAGTATCAGAGAGTGATAATAAAGATTTGCAGTTGATATGTAATTTGTCTTGATGATTATTGTGCATCCTATCAGCTGATGAGATTGGTTGCCATCACTGTTTCCATTGGGTCATGATACACTGACCTCGAGACCAGGTCTGTCAAAGTCAGAGTAGAATGTTTCAACCTCTCTCTCTCTCTCCCTCTCTCTCT